CGATGATGCAAGCGCAGGCCCAGGTATCTCTGTTTAGTCAAGAGATGGGGTCATTATGTAGAACGAAATCGGAACGAAAAACTATCTTTTATAATAAACCTACCAATTGAAAATATGTCCTTTAAATAATATAATCGCATATTGTCACTAATAGAGAGTTGCGTATGGATAACTGCTCCCTATAGCATAGGTAATGATGATAGGACATACACCATAAAACTCAGTTAATCCTAAGATATATATCTGCATGAGATTGGCACCAGCTTCGAGCCTCTGCTACCCTAAAATAATATAAACCAAAGCTGAAGTATACAAATAAGACAATAATTGCCGAAAATAGTACATCGTCTAATTCATAATCATCCCTGATTTGATTTTAGCCTGAATCCTCTTCAAATACATAATTACATCTTGAGATGTTGAAAGTTAGGCAATTTGTTCTATGCTGGGAGGCATACAGAGTGTATTGAAATGCACTGTCATTTATGGTTAAGGCTTATAACGGAAAGCAGAGATGTCTTGTTGAGAAGAGGCCGTCTAAACCGTCGATCTTTAACGAGCAGAATGGAATAATTGTGGAGGCAAAAGATGAAACTCAAATAAGTTTGATGGTTATGTCAATTATCAAATAATAGTGAAAATTCACCAGATAGACATCACAAAGTTCGTATAACCAAAAGTTGAATATAGCCGTAGTAACTCGAGGGAACTGGAACTGAGTGAAGCCGGCGTCACATTCCGCAACTGCATGTGAGAGCCGCGAGAGAATCCAGCGGTCAGTGCCGGATAATTGTTTAGATAAAGGGTTAACACAGTCGGAAATAGATGCGAGAAGGTCCAAGCAAGGAACTGGGGGCTGGAAATCCGTGCCTAGACAGTGGTAGAGTGCGTACCTATATGAAGAGAGAGGTAATCTTTAGCTAAATGGCTCAAAGGAAGGTAGACTCAAATTTTATTAGTTCAGTACACCCATAAGGGCGTGATTAGCACCAGAAAATGCTAGCCAAAATACTAGGCTGCTGGTAAAATTTATTTTTATAAATAATACGACTAGATAAACTTTCATGGTTAATGGTTAAGAAGAAATAAGCCATAAGCCAAATCTAGAAAATAAAAACTATTTTAGAGATGACAACGAAAAACAGCAATAGTACTAAGTTGCTGCCGTTATCATCAGTAGTAACGGCAGGAAATAACAACACATTTGAAGCCATGTGTGCGAAATCACTGAGGGCATTGTAAATATTCAGTTCACAATTAATTGGCTCTGTAGCAATGATGCCCCTGCATTAAACTTTTGTTTGCACTATGGGAGACATCAACAAAAGAAGACTATATTTTACGAAATAGCGCAAAATCTATAGTAAGACAAGAGAAGAGGTGGCAGGCTGTAGCACTAATC